TGGCATCCACTTGCAAGCCACATGTAGATGCCAGTGTAAGTGCTTGTGGCAGCAGAGGGCCCAGCCAGGCATGCATGGGTCTGAGAATTTGTGTACTTATGCCTTTTCTGGGATTTCAACATAGCCGAGTGCTAGAGAGCGTTTTTCCCTTAGGGCACACAATAGCAACGGTGTGCATGTCCTTAGTGCACAACGTGCAGGGATAGGTGAGGTTAAAGTGGCAGCAGAATGACCCTGTATGCCAGATTGAAGTGGTAAAATTACCTTAAGTCAAACCTGAAGCAATTTTATATGTATTTAAACATGTTTTTAAAGTTTACACTGTCACTTGTATGTGCTTGGCTGGATTAAGCTTTGTTGTGATTGTGACGAATAAACTGTTTGACCCGTCTGTCACATTGGTTTAATTGTAATAAATGTTCATTTTTACACTGTTGCTGTGTGTTTCTGTGTAACTAGTTCAGGTTTTTGCAGAGGAAAGAAGAGGCTACTCAGTGCGAGCTTAAAAAAAAAGGGAAATTTTATTACAGTGCTTAACCTGTTCTTGAGCACTTTATTAAAAAATGTGCAAGGATATTGTGTCCAAGTTAGTTATTTACATCCATTTAAGTTGTACAGAAAGCAATAAATTAGCAAGTTTTTGGAAGGCTTACCACATTAAACGTGAAGTTCATTAAAGTGGATGTTAAATTGATGCAGTTGTGTCACTTCATTTGAAATTTAAACCACATGTTGCTTGAGAGAGGGTTCTGGATAATACAGACTGAATTTTCAGTTCCTTACGTGGAATTATAAGCAAGTCAATGCAACATTCACAATCCTAGTCTCAAACAAAAATTTCTCAGATTAATCTGTTCTCCGGCTTTCTAAAAGAACTGAACTAGGTGATGTTATTGGCAAAAGCATGGGGAACACTTACCGTCTTTGGGCATTTCTTTAATAATAATACAAGAGTAAAATTTGGTCTCTTAAATTGCCTATCTTAGGGGAAGGGGGTGGGAGGGAGCTAAAGAATCAGAATTTCTGGATTGTTTAGGCAAGTGGTTGTTGGCTTGAGTGTCTTCAACTTCATCACTGAATCTTAGTCTTTACCTTGAAGGGGCCTTCCTGAACATCTGCTGTTGCTTTTGAGTTAACACCATGATGATGGTCACCATTTGCCATGGGTTCTGCTTGTATGGCTTGCTTTGTAAGCAGTCTCATGGTTTGCTGAAGTGTAACTCGTTGATGTTGGGTTTTTTTTTTTTAAAAAAAAATCATAGATACTGAATTCAGCTGATACATCAGTGCTGAACAGAACAATATGTGGAACAGTAGGGGTTTATTTTAATTACAACAAACTTAGAATGAAAGCAAAATCAGCTGCACTCTTTAGATGATGTAAGAAAGTAAATTAAGCTTTTATGTTAACTAGCATAGACTTTCAAGTTTTGTAAGAAGTGCTGATCCAGGACAGGAAGCAATAGCATCTTTAAGCAGGCTTTTGCATTTCTTTTGAAAAAAAGCACACAGGAATGTCACTGGTAAACTTCAGGGCAATTTCCAACACACTTGACCATGGTAATGCAAAACTGAATCTGAGAAAGACATGCTATCCTCGGAGGACACAGAGCTGAGAAGCTAGTTGGGGTGCATTTCAGACCATCTGCCCTACAAGGAAGGGAAGGGCGGAAGAGGGAGGGCCTTGTCAGGTGTTCTCCCTCTGTAAGAAAGGAAAGCTGTGTGTTCGGCAGGCACAGGTGTGCTGCCCCTTCTCCCCGTGATGGAAGTTAGCTCCTCTGGACAGGCAGGCAGGGAAATCAGATGGAAGCAGCCGTCAGGCACAACTGGAAGGCGTGCTGCTGCCGGGGCAAGCCCTCTTCCCTCATGCCTGGCACCAGTACTTGCTGCCTCTGCCTACAGGAGTTCCCACCACACTGTCATCGTTGCCCTTCTGCAACTGGAAAAATGGCGAGGTGCTGCCTGGCTTGGCTGAGTTCCTCCTTCCAGAGGAGAAGGGTCACCCTGACTGCTAAAGGAGCTCCTGCCCTCACCAACTTCCTGCAGCTCTCTACGAACACCTGCTTTCACAGTCACGCTAAAGCACATCAGTGATCCTTGCAGCATTCACAACTGAAAAAAAAAAAACCTTTGAAAGCCACTGCTTTTAAGCAGTCATTCCAAACAAAACAAAACAGAACTTGGCCAATATTAATTCACTTTATAAGGTCCTTTTACATGGAATACGCAGAATAACACACAGTGAGAACAAGCTATTCCTTGCAAATTTAAATGATTTCTGTGTTCTTCTGGGGCTTCTCCCCTTTGGAAAAAGAATTAAGCTTAACATTTAAAAACTTCTAGTCTCTTTGCCTCTTCAGAATAAATAGCTCACTTGGCTAATAAGGAAACACAAAACCATGCATATAACACTAAAGATTATGAAGTAGGGAAATAATACTGAAATACATGAACTCTGAAGTTAGAAAACTGGCTGAATTCCAGGTTTCATGCTAACAAATTCAAACTAAATGTCAGATCTACAGCACTCCATTTCTGTGTAATAAACAGACTGCACATGAAAGTGAATGATAATTACAGCTACCAGTCCTACCCTGCACTGATAGAGCCAGCAAGTTTGGGTCCAGACCACAAGAAAAAGCAAGCTGAAGCTTCAGTCATTATAGTAGCAGAAATAAAATAAATTTTTACGTACATCTTTGAGCAAGTTTTTCTTTTTAATCCTAAGAATTTTTTTTATTTTTTTTTTAAATACAGCAGCTCAGCTTCCCAGATCCTGTTACAAAACTGTGGAGACAAGGAGCCTAATTACCTGTGGAATTCTCACATGGGTCTTAGCTGGCACTTGGTTTCTAATCCTAGAGAGGCCTGCTTTGCTTATTTCACCTGGCTGGTCGCAGGCTCCCACCACCCATTCCCCTCTGAGCTCGGCGATTGATTTCTCTCAGATAACGCTCAGCGACCATCTGCCGCGTGACACGGGATGTAACACGTACTACAGATGGCACGAATCGACCCTTCCACTCGAGAGCCCTAACCAGCAGGCTAGCTGAGCAGCAGGAGGTGTGGGACGCAGGGCAGCACCAGTGAAATGAAGAGGTCACTGGCCTGTCGGTGGTGCCTTTTGGCAAGCAGGAAATGCCAGCTTGGTTCTGCTCCGGGGAACTGAAACCGTGTGTGCCACATCCCGCGCAAGTGACCCAACTAGACAAGTGAGCATCTGTGGAAAAAATAGAAACCTCGGGGAAAATCTGTCTTACAAGGTCTAGTCAGAAAAAAGATAACATGATGAGAAACTGGCGGTCACAAATTTCTCAAATATAATTTAAAACTTAGTGCTGTCTATCCTTTGAAATATGCCTTTCAAACAAAGTTATTATTTCAAAAGTTATGCTATTAAATTACAATTCCTACATCTGTTAATAACTAAAACATTTAATCAAATTAACTAAGCTATAATTCTGCCTACGGTTATGACAATATATAGTGAAAGTCGGGTTTGAACTGAACAATATATAGCACTTTTGTTGTATTACTCCATATTGGACAACAGTTACACATGAAAGAAGGAAAATGTATCATCAGCATGCTAGGTGCAGTATGCATTTAGAAAAGCAAAAATATATATATTATATCCAGAAGCAATGTTCATTCACTCTTAACAATCCTGGGGGAAAAATGTTCTTGCTGTGAGGAAAGTTTGGATATCCAGATTTTCTACGGGACTTTACGTTATATTGTTGGAGTTGTAACGAGTATCTGTTTGGGAGCGCTTTGTGTCTACTTGAGGCTTCTAACTTAGGTAGTCTGAACTGTACGCTCAGGACAGGAGCCCCAGTTCTTTGGGGAGGCTAAAGAGGGGGAGGTATCTCTGCAGCCCGCTCAGGGCAGCCGCGCCTCAGGGCCACAGACAGCTCTGGCTAAGGACGCCTGGCTGCCCAAGTTAAGTACCTGAAGTTAAGCAGTGTGAAGTGTGGCCCATCCAATAGCACAAATCTTTCATTTCAAAGTGAAGAAATATTTGTAAGGATTTATCCAACTGCAGATACTTTGCTATTATGGCTATTGTTTCAAAAGTTTTGTCTCGGTAACTTCATTTTTACATGCCCTACTCTCCACCTTGACCGTAGGAAAGCTAGACAGTAGGGTGCCTTAAACCATATGTAAAATAAGCCTAAAAAGGCTTAAAGTCAAGTCCTCTTCTCCAAAAAAACTAATATATTGTTTCAGGTATAAAACCTTCAGTTTCTTTAGCCACTCTGCAACCATCTTGAGCCTTCACAAGTACATATACCCATCTTCAGTTACCACATGTACACTTTTCCACCACTCCATCCCAGGTCAGGCAGGTTGTTTGCAACTACAAATGGTATGCAACCAAGAAGTATGCAAAGTATTTTCTATCCTTACTCAAGGATTGCAAGTGCATGGTCTCCACTCTTACTTGAGGATTAAGGTACTGAATAAATTGATTGTTTTTCTGTGTACTTCCTACTTGGTTGTAGTCTACTGCAATCCCTTGAGGCAATTAGCTCAGCTCAGTCAGGGGAGAGAGAAAAATCCAACACTTATGACCACAAAGCTCCTACTGGGCAAGTATTGTACAGTCAAACAGTGATGTCTTTTAGATTCCTTTTCTCGAACTCAAAACATGATTCTATTTACTTTGTCTAGAAAGAGATTTCCCATAAACAGATGGAAAAATATAACATGGCAGTCTTCTACACAGACTTCAATTTGCAGTGTGCTGTGGTGTGAAGTTACAGCGCACTGGCTGTTCTGTACTAGCTCCTTACAGGGACAGTAAACACTTAACACACACATAACACGGAAATAAGCATATACCAAATAAGCTTTACTTCTCTTTCTATTTGTACTCAGTACGCATCCAGATGTTGCAGCAGTTCAGAGGGACAGAGTAGCTAGAGTACTTAACATTCACACCTTATATAGGACTTAAACTTTTGATTTTCTGAAGCTTAGCACACAATAAACTAAGTTCCTTTATTAGGAGGAAACATTTTAATGTGCAAGAACACTTTATTTGAAACTCAAATATATCTGGTGCCCTATTAGAAATATTTGTCAGCTCTACGTTGGATCAATTAGCACCTTCTAAAAGTAATTCTCACTTTGTTTTGGGAGTTTCGCTACTTTTTCCTCTGCTGCTCGATCTCTTTTTACCCCTGCTCCTGGATCGAGAGGAACTCCGACTTCTGCTCCTACTGCGTGTTCGACTATGACTTCTGCTGCGACTGCGGCCTCTCCTCTTCCTCCCCCTGCTGCGAGACCTCCTCCTCTCTCGACTTCGTGACCTGCCAGACCGGCGCCTTCTCTTGTTTTTGCGGCGATTCTTTTTTCTCTCAGACTCTCCATTTCTGCGGTAAGAATGGTCTGGGCTTGGGCTGCCCCTTCTCCTTGACCGGCTGTAATAGTCGTCACGATGGCTCGTCCTGTTTCTCCTTTCAGAGTTTTTAGACAACTGACTAGTCCGTTCAGGAGAAATACGTATGTCTCTATTGGCCTCCCAAAACTCATTGTTTGGATTTTTGAATACATGAAGAAAGTTGCAGTGTTTCCCTCTTGGACACTTCTGCCTTTCAAATAAGCCTGCAACAGATTAGGGTTTGCTTTTTTTTTTTTTTAATGAACCACACCTGTTAAATCTCTTTCTTCATTATGTACCTACTGGAAAGAAACTTAAACTGAATTTTGCTTCTTCAAACAGAAAAACATGCATCTGACCACCTATCAATTTAATTAATGCGAGATTTTTTTCAGTATGTACTTTTCTTGGAATTAGGTTTTTAACAGCTATGAAGATTTTAGCTTAAAATGATTTTCATAAATAATTTTACTACCTTAATCTAAGAATGTAAATATAGATAAGTCAGATGTGATACTTACTACTAAGAACTGTTGGTGGCTCAGAAACTGCTGTTGCTTTTTAAAGAGATAAATTAGTACTTGCTGTACTTCCACCTTAAGATTATTGTTTCCAAAGCTAGGATCCAAACTTTCTTTTCCAGTCCAAGGTAAATCCATGAGAATGATTTGCACACTTACATAACACAGCATGAAGATTCCCTTCCTTTCCTACACAAGCAAGTTATCATATTTGTCTTCCAAACAGAAATGCACTGCAGCACTAGGCAGATCTGAAAGCTACAAGCTAATTCCCTCTTTTTCACTCCCATAAGTACTCTTTTGATAAAACACGTTCTCTTTTCCAAGCATTTATGTGACTCACCACATATAGCAGTTTTCCACCTCGTCACAGGACAAAATTCACAATGAAGCTGTCGGCCTGCATACCATCGTCCACTGAATAGAGCAAGTGCTGCCTGACAGTCCTTCTCCCTTTAAAAAGTAAAAATCACACATGGCATTATCATCATACAATCACTTAAGATGTTACTTACCAATTTTAGGCTCCCATTACAGTATGAAAATGAATCACTTGGATTATACAAACAGTGTTCACAGTTCTAAAATTTAGTAAGATTGCGAGTACTTACGACTGGTACTGGACATACACATTTCCTCGCAGGTGAGGCTCATAGTTGCAACTGACCTAAGGGGGTGGAAACAATAAGTTAGTGCAACAGAAGGTTTACGCTCCACAGCAGCTCACGCGTGTTAAGATGGCAGCCATTCCAATTTATGACAGCTCATCAGTATAAACTTACATGTGGTTTTCTTCTGAACACTTAGTTTTAGCCAACTAAAAGGTTTCTAGTGTTACGCTTTGATTAACACTGGGACTTCTGCTTCACTTAGTCCACAAGACAGCTTGCACTCAATTGTCTTGCGCTTGTCTGGGCCAACCCTACTGTGCAACAGCCAGATCCTACTCTGAAAACAATTAGTAGTATCCTTATGTAGAAATGTGGGATTCATTATGGTAAGAGAATCTTCAGAGCAATTTTGCTTCACAGCATCCCTGTGAGATGAGTTAGAAAATTTGAAGTCATTAGCTTTTGCTGTACAGTTCTGAAACACCTTTTTTCCCATAATAATTTAGCATTCAAAGTATATCTAAAGCTCTCAAAAATACACAATTAACTTCCAGAAAGCTTGTTGCTCACTACAAAGGATTATGATGTGGGCAGGGCCAAGCAGACTAGAACCCAGTTCTCCAGGGCAGAACTGCAAGCTCAGCCTCTTTTGCCCCCGGCCTCTTCCAGTATCTGCACCAAATCAGGCAAGCAGCTCCTTTCCTCGCTGAACCCTGACCAAATACCTCTCTCTGCACTGGGTTAGGCAAGGGCTTCAGACACAACAACAAGCAGTTTTATCATGAAGTATTACAGAATAGGCAGTCAAACTATCCGAGATAAACAACGTCAATACAAGAACAAGCAACAACATTTCAAACATTTCACCATGGACACTTTTGGGTGGGAAGTGTGTTTTGTAAGGATCTGCCAGGTTCTGGAGTAGCTTCACAGAAAGAACAGCAAGAATAAAACCTTGGGCTACATTGGAAAGGAAAGTCAGCTGGAAGAGGGGTGTGTATAATCGGATTCTGAATGGTAGCAGAGACTCAGCTCAATCACCGTTAAGACCCCTGCAGCCAGCGCGTCATTTTTGAATGTCTCCAGTATAATGAAAAAACCCGTGGGAATCATATTACAGTTGCACAATTACATCAGAAGCTAAGAAATGCCACACTAAAAGCTCTTACTATGTTATTAATCATAGGGACCCAAGTACATGCAACTTAGCGTAGCTGCATAAAACAAGAATGATACAGCGTTGAGGACCTGAGTTTGATGGTAAGACAGCATTTCAACCCGTGCTCCGCTGGGAATCTACGTCTCGTCTTCTAGGGTGGAGCACAGCTTTCTAATATTCCGTGAGTCAAAATACGGAGGGGATTCTCCTCCAAACAAGTGAAGGTTTCTTACCTATAAAGCTCATTATACAACTACTGAAAATTCACTTTTTCTACTGTCCTCTTGCTTGAAATGCTAATACAATCGCCGTTCTGAGGCAGCTGTCAGCAGATGGAAACGAGAAAGGGTACTGCGTGCCTCCTGGTGACTGCAGGAAAATGCTCAGAAATGGCAGGCAGAAAGGGACACTGCAGTAGGTTCTGCTACAAGATTTCACCACCCAAGCTGCATATTTTGGGGCAACATGGGACTGTTAACACACATCATTCATCTCCAAGGTCTCCATTTACAAGTCCCTCTTTTTTCCCCATAAGAAACCACAACATAAATGGAAAAATTCAGCAAAGAACATTCAGTAAACCAAATGCAGAAGCTACGGATGGATGACAAATCTCAACACCATGTACCTGACTTACCTTTTTGTAATTCCTCCTACTGAAATATCTAGTACCTTTTCAGTTCATTGTCATTCGATTTTATTTTATCCAACCAGTCCTAAAATGACATTGCTTGGGTGTGTACTCCAAATGCATTTTATACCCCAACTATTTCATTCCTTAGGCACAAATACAATAGCCCAGATGTATTTATATTGTCTGACAGTCTTAGTGGACCCTCTGGCGCTAAGCAAAGAAGGGAGGGTGACGTAAGTGGACCATTGAACGGTATGAATAACTTGCAATAGAAAAGCACAAGCTTTTTTAACAGTTCAGGGGAACGGGAGAGAAGATTCCCCCAGAGTAAGACAATGCTCTGTAACAGCAGTGACAAGCTTCTAGGTGACATGAGAGATGCACAGTTTGCTGTGAGGACACTATAGTTCTCTAATGTACGCGGGCTTTAGCCAGGGCACACTGGGCAAAATTCCTGTTAAGGCTAGTGAAGCACAACTTGCGTGGTGTATGTCACATATTTAACAAGCTATTACACTCAGATGCATACCTTGAATTGAACAACCTTCCCAACATTCTGAAACTCGGGGAGCACGTCCTCGTAAAACTCCAGGAACTGCTGGTAGGTCTCCTCGTCACTGTACTCGAGACTTGCGTCCGTGTCATAGTCATCTCTCCGGCACTGCTCCATGCCAAAAGTAATGAACATCCCTCGGACGAGTAGTGTCTTACTAGATGTTGGATAGTTATGCTTGCGAGAACACCTGAACATTTGTAGTAAAGAAAGAAAAGCGAAAAGATTAGCACTGTCAGCAGAAGATGCACTTGTTGAAACTTCAAATGCCATTTTGATTAACAGCTATTGCAAAAGAAAATCCATTAGTGGAAGATGAACATATTTCAGTTATTAAAACAAATCCTTTGGAAGCAAGGTTGTGTATCATCTTAGTGCTTTCTGCCATGTATCACTACATTCTCGCTGAAAAAAGCATGTCTGCACAAACTATAGATACTAGTAACATAACAGCTAAAGTAATTTCTTTTAGGCTACTAGGGTTTAATGTGTTCTCCATTTCTGAAGGGCGTTATAGAAAGGCTACTGACAATCTCTTAATACATTTTAAGGGAAGTCCCTGCTCTTATTTTTGTAAACTGAACAATTTTTACTGAAGTTGTTTTCATTATACGGGGGAGTGAGGAGGGAAAGAAAACACATTTAGACCTCAAGTTGGATGAGATTAGTATTTTCCCAATTTAAAAAAAACAAACCACTTCTCATAAGTAAGTCATATCTTAATCTGCATCTTCTCAGCAGCCATAGAAGTATGAGATCTCCCTCATCATCCATCATATTGAAGCTACCTCCCTCATGCTGAAATACAGTTCTTCCCCACAAACCTTTAGATTCAGTAAGAACATAGGTGTTAGCCTCCCTGTTTATTTTACTGTGCTTTAAGATCTCACTTTCAAACACTTCCCTGAGCAACTGGGTCATGCACTCTCCTCCACAGTTCTCCTTTTCATGACATGATCAGAAAAACAGTCTGACTAGTCTACTCTCTTTGTCTAGCACTGGCAAAGCACAAACAAATTGGAGGGAGGTCAGGTCTCAAAATAGGCAATTACAACCTAGACTTCAGATAGGAAGTTTCTTTCTGCATCCAGTCAGAAATTGACTCTCACTTTCTGCTTAGCACCTTAGAATTCAAAAAACAAACTGCAAAACTAAAACCAGAGATGATTTTGTATTTTTTTTTTTCCATTTTAGAATCTGCCTCATTTCACTCTTCTATTTGAATGATAGAACTCAAAATATTACACCCAACCAATATTGTCCGTACAGAAAATGAATATAGCACAAGACAGAGCAAAAGGAACCCCAAGGAAAATGAATGACCCAGTATTACTACAAAATGTTATGGTTTGAATTACTCTTAGTGAACTCAGCCAGTTTTAACTTCTTCAAGACATAGCAAGCTTTGACAAGATTCAACAATTATTTTATAGATAACACTGGCTCTCTGGTTTTCACCATTGTGGTCCATTTCAGCTTCCAACCCATTCTTCCAGTCCTTATCCTAGCCGTATTCAGTCCTTCAAATATGGTCAACACCAGAGATTAAAATGACCAGAATATGAAGGAAGCAGGTGAGGAAGAGGAAGGAAGATGAAGGAGAGGTAGCCGAGATCAACAACTACAAGTGAGAGAAGGGCAGAATATCATGTTTCTCACTATTTATTTACTAAGTCTACTCATAGTTTAAGGCAAAACTGACTTTTATCCAATCTGTAATTAATCCAGAGAGGTCACCTCCATTAAATACCTCCAAAACAAAAATAACTGCAAAGATAACAAAATACTAAACATTTGAAAAGCAAATATGCTGTTTGCAGTGAAATAGCTGGCCAAAGTTTTATTTAGGAATTCAACATATATTTCAGAAGAGAAAAAGGATGTGGACTTGAAGCTTCCATAGAATTATCACATAATTATCTACAATATACATCACACTAAAACAAATTACTTCTAGGATAAAGAAAACTACAACAGATGTATTTCACGTGTATCACACGTGTTTCAGTGATACAAGTTAGTAAAACAGCCTTACTAATTTATGCTGAAAATTCAAGTAGTATCAGAGTCCTTCCCTGCTGTGCCATTTTTCCTCCTTAACACACACAAAAAAATTCAGGCATTTTCTAGCCAGATGCTGCATTTGGGTCGTCATCTTTAATGGTCACTAATGAACTTGTACTCCATGAACCCATTTATACTTTTTGGCATCCTCCATAACTCTGGCAGCAAGTTTTGCTATTTGTTTGATATGAGAAAGTACTTTTTTTTTTTTTAAGCTGTTAAACACTTAGAGACACTTAATTAAACTGTTTCATAATAAAAGCAAATAATCCTTCCCATCCTACTGATGAGTTCGGTGTTCATCCACGACAGCCCTCTTCTGTCATCTCTTTGAAAGTAGAGTCCAGTCTAGTTAGCCACCACTCGTACAGAAGCTGTTCCTCATCTCTGATCACGTTGTTGTCCTTCTCTGTTCTTGCATTTTACTATACTTCCCTTCAGAATCTTCTGTACTTCCCAAGAATCAAGGTATCACATTTAAGCAGTATACAAACCAGAGAATTCTGGATGCTACGCAACAGCTTTCGCAATTGTGCAGATGTATCTTAACTTGCTTTAGTCCATTTGAGATTTGATTTATTTTTTAGATGATACAGTATATGCAAATTAACAAGATAAAAAAACAACACCTGACATATCAGGCCTGAACTAATAACAGAAATCAAATATATTCTGTCTGAATATATCTACACGTGTCGGAGCTAAGGAAAAGTCAGTCTGACCAATGTAACCAGAACGCACCATCAATAAAATGCCATAACAATAAACAGTTCAATTCCAGCCAGGCAATGCTTTTGCTCTCAAACATCTACTTCCATCATGAATTAGCAGAACCACATCCAAACACATGAAGGTAATTTATATAGCAATTTTTCTTCAGTTTGCATATGACCTAATGAAGGTGCTTCCCTTTCATCTCTCCAAAACACTTCTATGCTGGTAAATATTCAGTTGATTACCTGTCTCCAAATCGGCAGGAACCTGTTTTAATATAGAATGGGCAATTTGCTCTATCCTTCTCTGTTCCTATGTTCTCTGGGGGCTCTGGGTTGTGCCAGGTCACACCATTCTCCAGCTGTGGAAAAAAACATTAAAATACACAGAGGTTAGGAAAGAATAAAAAAATGTAATGTCAAAATAAAATTACCAATTAAATCCACATACAATTATGAGCAGTGTGTTACTACAAGGCAAGCTGAATGTATTTTAAGCATTGTTTTACAAAGCTGCCCAGTGCCTTGGGTCTCTGGTGATGGAAACCACTTTTCTTGATAATTGTTCAGTTTTAAGAACAAGTCTATATTCACAATTTCTTTTTAACAAAAACTCCACTAAACTTGATGTTTTCTTTTGCTAAAGGAAAAGCTGCTTAAAATTTTAAAACCAAAAGAGTTGCAATATATTTGCTCCTCAAACAGCAATTTCATTTGTTAGCCACAAGAATTACAAATACTGGGACAGGTTCTTTCCATTCAGCTAAGCCCATTACCTACTTCATCCATTAAGCCTGGCAGATAGAAAGCTGGGACTATTTACCTGTTTGTCTCTGCAACAGCTCAAAGCTCAGTAGGGTTATCATTATTGCTTTATATGCGGCTAGAAAAGGCTAAAGTAAAAGTAACCTGCCAAAAGCCAGAATTTAAAAAAAATTAAATTCATAGTTAGCACTGGAAATAAAAGCCTCCATACTGATCATCTCAGGCCATTAAGATTTCTGTAATTCAAAACGGGATTATCAAGTTGCAAGCCTTGGCTTGACTACAAGCAAAACACATTTTAAACAGGGAATTTTCGTTTTGTTAACCTAAAGATCTGTAAAGCTGACTAGCCTAAGTTCCTGTTTTAAATCAGTGTTTATTTACAAGCAGCATTTGACCCTGCTACCAGTTCTGTTGATGACTCTCAGCCATAATTTTCTTTCAACAGAACAGCACTGTCACTTCAACAGTAAGTAAGTGAACCCTGAACTGATACAATAATGAAGTCTCTAACATACCACATTTCTGCCTATTCCTTTGCAGAAATGGCTGCTAATATATCTTGAGCTCGGGCAGATAGTAGTTCAGAGCATTTTTCTACCCATATTATGAAATAAGAGCTAAATTTTGCTACCTAAAGAACTGTTTAAAGATGATTTGGAACTGAATGCAACTCCAGTGTAGCTACAGCAATCAACATACCATGGGTTAATGAGGTTAAAACGTAATTTTCAGATTCATGCAGTGGTTTAAGCAGAGCAAGAATTTCCCAAGTTTAATCATATGACAGGGATAAAAAGCCAAATTATTCTTTAAAGACAATATGAAAGATTGAATTCATCCTCTCTAAGATTCAAAGGAAAACTCCACTTTTCTTTACTACACACTGCCAGCTTGAGATCCATGCTCTTCCAGGCACCCGAGCAGTCAGCTTCTCCCTCCCCCACCTTTTTTATTTTTTTCCTTAGGGATCTATACCCTCCTCTACTGCTGAATCCTTTTATTTAGAGCCTGCCATCTGCTTAAAAAGAAAAGTTTGTCTTGCCACCCAGAAGGACTGACAGATTTATTTAGAATTCTAATTCACAAATAAACCATCACGCATGGTGGGTTTTTTTAACAGCACACAGCAGTATTTCCAGATTCATTTTGACTCAGATCTCCTGAACAGGAATGAGCATGCACAACTGCACTGCCACCAACCAGCCAGAAACATGCTTAATTATGTTTCACCCAGTAAATAATTATTTACAGCTCATGCAAGCCACTACATATTAAATTTATTCAGGCCATTAGGTTCTTGAGAGCAGATGGACAACATGCTAGAAGGCAAACACCGGACTGCAATTAAATTACTTTTCAGTTCTTTTTCAAACAAACTCTGAGCATACCTGGCTTTCAGCTTGATCCAGCATCCTCTGTACAGCTGCCTATAAATGGTGCAAACACAGGACTAGTGAAAACCCTGAGGACACGCAAAACATCTGGTTTCTTCAGTTAAGAACCTAATTTACAATACTTAATGATTATGTGTAATAAAAGTTTGATGGGGTTTGCTTTAAAAATGGAAATTTTACTTTTGCTCTGCAGCAATTCATGTACTACAAAGCTGTTAAAGGATACAGCAGACAAGATCCTCATGTAGGTGATTTTCTAATCTAAATGCTAGACAACTTAAAAAGTTTCATTTTCTTTTTTAAAACTATCATTGAACTATTAAATACTGCTCTAGTACTCAGTCTGGTTACAGTTAAGTTCGTAATCATTTAGTTGCACTAAACTTTTTAACTTAGAGCATTCTAAGTAACACACAGAAAAACACATTGCTTAGTGAGCCTCTGTTAAAGCAAAACATGTAACTGTTAAGAAACTTTAATATCCTAAGTTCACTCTATCTAGCCTTCCAAATACAGGAAAACAATGAGGATATTCTTCCCCTTCCTTCTAAGTGGCCTGAGCAAAACAATAAAGTCACTCTCCAAAACTGGCTGGAAATTAGTTCTAGCCAATTATTCTAGGAAGTTCCAAGAAAAAAAGACATTTAAACATAATCAATACAAGAAAATATGCTAGCATTGTTCTCATGTGGAACAGAATTAATTAAATTAAAAAATAGGAGGAGCAAATAAAGGAATGCAATCCAAGATGAGGACCCAGACAGCATCTGGTACTAATCATCAAGTAGGTCAGATATTATCCATCCTATTAAGGAAAAACAAAGCAAAACACAAAAACCAAAACCCCACCAAACCAGAAAAGCTATTTTCTCATTTTCAGGGAGGGAAAAACTGTATTTTTTTCTTAAATGAGAAAGTCAGAATTGGAATAGACTGCTGTTTCAAGAGACAAACCAAATTAACTGAACAACTTTCTGCTGCTGAAATGGGTGGCTCCACTCCCGGCTGGGTACTCAGTTTCCCCCTGGGTGCCTCTCAATGCCCTCTGTGAGCCAATTTAACTCACTAAACCAGTAAAACAGTAACCCAGAAAAAAAAAACAAAAAAAAAAAACCAACAACTGAACAAAAAAGAAAGCAGCTTCCATCTATTTCAGGGAACCAAATTAGCCCACTGAGGGCTTGGGCAAACCCAGGCACAAGAAGGAGGAAGAAACAAAATCCTGCTGTTACCGTGGTTCAACTCTCTTGGAACTATCTCTCAACCTAATAAAGGGTGCGACCACCATTTTCTCTCCCTACTCTGCAACGAGAGAAATGGACACTTAACACAAGAGGAAGTACAACAAGAAATACAACAACTGCTGTTCTTTTTCATTCCTCATGCAAGTGCTACGTAATCAGTGACACAACAAACTATTAAATGCAGGAGACAATACTGTTTGCTTATGTCTCTGCTGCTGCTGTGGCTGCTGGACACAGCAGCAAGACACCTGCCAGGGAAAGGACGGGAATCTCCTGCGATTGTGGAGAAGCTAAAATGACCGGATCCTAGAAAGCTGCAATCACCCTTTACTGGTGGTAGGCTAGTCCTCACGCTGGATTTCTGTATAGGGCATCTTACATCCAAGTCACTCAACTTCTAAAACTTAAGAAGAATGTATCATGAACATAAATGTTATCGATGACTTCAGTATCATTCTTTTCTCCACCCAAGGAGCTCTGAAAAAAAGATACGTCCTGTTGGATGAGTCAGGTAAAGAAGAGCTGTAGCGTATCTTTTGATTAAGAACTGTGTTAAGGAACAGCAGCAATGTAATTCCATATTCCATATCCTCACTGGGCATTTTCTTCAACACTGTGTTCAACTGGGACATTAAGTAAGGATTATCTTTAACGCATGATGCAAAGAGTGCACAGCACATACCAGAACCTGCATTCACAGCGTGCCTTTGTATTTAACTGATGTAAAAAAATTACATACTATGAACAAACAGATGTGTTAAAACTAGTTACCCTTCTAGGTATATGGATTTACTAGATCCTCTTTAACACTGAATAATAGTTGCAGGAATTTAGACAGAATGGAGAAAAGAAGTAACTAACAGATTTATACGTTTGCTAATTAGAATAAAATCCCTCCTCAACATGCATAAACTGTTGCATCTGATAATGTAAGAGGATATGTAACATGTTTATCCTCCCACTGCCAGGAATCACCTCTCTCTCTCTCTTCTCCTGTTGCTTCTGCTGTGCCACTTCTCTCTCTTTTCTTTGCTGCTCTTCCCATTCTTCTTTGATCTTCCTCTTTATGATAAAAAAATTAAAAAATTATTTAAGGAAACAAATGCTTTATAATCAGTCAAATTCAATACGATCATGTTGTATTGCAACTCCTTGACCATTAATGTTTCATCCAGTTATCGTAAGCAACTAAATCTCTGAACAAAAACCCTTTTAGAGTCTTTTTTTTTCCTTTTTAATTTTGCTCTTCTAGAATGAAGGAGAAAAGAACTTACGCTTTCAACCATACCAACATGAAGAAAACTGGGTCCACTACAGAACAGTAAAAGATACTACACTAAGTCTACCTTATTCCCAGACACAACTGTAACACTCAGGTTATACATCACCTCTTCTTCTTCTTGACGTTTTCTTGCAGCCTCTTCTTTTTCTTTCTTAAGCTTGAACTCTTCTTGGGCCTTTTCTTCTCTCAGCAACCACTGCTCATGTAGTTTTTGTCTACCAAGGAAACCAGATACCACTTAGGCAAAATGTAATGACTACCCAAAACTGATGCAACTGTCATGCATACAATTAAAATTTATTAGTTCAGCAATAACTACAGCTTATCTAATCTTTAAAAGAGACAATTCCATAGAAATCATTCAGGGTTTAGAAAAAAAAAGTGTAGCCTGAAATATAAAAAAGGATTCTATTTTACAGAATATATTGAAACTTTTAAGTGTACCAAAATGGAATTGACTACAAATGTATCTACTGCATACATGCCGTTTTCTAGATTTTTCACCTTTCTGCCTCAAGTTTTTTTTCTTCTTCTTCTTCCTCTTCCTCTTCTTCCAGTTCTTCCTCTTCCTCCTCAGACACTGATTCATCTTTTTCTGTAGCTTCTGAGAAAAAACACAAAACAATGCATCTAAATAACTGGATATTATAGTCAGCAAAAATACACAAAATTATATCCTTTTAAAAAACGAAAAGAAAAAAAGAAAAGCTACTAGTTCCACCAACAATACAAAACAGTTCAGAGTTACCTGAGTCTCTTAGTTTGGCAAGTGCCTGCCGCTTTTTTTTTCGCTTCTCTTTCTTCAGAATGGCTCTGTATTTTTGATGGCTGAAGATGGGAGAATATTATTTACGTTAAAACAGCCAAACAAAGAATTTTTACTGTCATACATGCACTCAATTTACATCAGCAGTACAAAACCCCACAAACTGCAAAATTAACAGCTAGTCATACGAAACAGTAACTCTACAGGGACATCTGACATGACAATGAAACCTGTAGCTATGCTGATAGAGCTGCATGTGGACAGCAGCAACGATCACATTCGGACACAACACACAGGGTTTCATCCTTCTTGAACTCTGAAGTACTTGACGTTATGACCAACTCCATGACATGTCCCTTAGTTCATAAAACTTGGTCACTAGATAAGATTAGGGAGAAAAAATTGGGGATCTCCTACCCTATAATTTTGGCACACCTTTCAGCACATTCTAGTCTTCCTCTCTTTTGCAGGATATGAAAGTTTAAGTCCAGGCAGCAGTCTTAGTGTATAGATAACAAAAGCACACTTAACGAGCACCACAGATAATGCTCAGGTCTATTCTTCTGCTACTGAAGCTTGGCCAGACTCATTCTTGCTTGCCTGACCACTCTGCAAGGCTGCCTACAAACAGCACCGTGCTTTCATTATGGTTAAAAATGCTCTAAGTATCTGAAGGCCTTTTCGTATCAACCCTTTTCTGTCATTTTTCATTCCAGCTCTTCTCTTTCTAGCCAGTTTGTACTGGAAAAATAGGAGGGAGGGATGATCTTCAACTCTTGCCATTCTGCCATGCCAAATACTGACGGGAGATGAAAATCCTCCCATTTCAGAGTATGTAATTTTAAAAGATTCCATAGGTATAACTCAGACTGCCAGAACATCACCCACATCTCTAACCCTCATGTTCAGGGTTACTCACCACCTGCACACTTTTGCATGCCATCAGTAACACCACGGTGGTTATCCTGGCAGCAGAACTCTTGCCTTTAAAGACCAATGTCCGACTGCATGCAAAGCCCACATCTAAAACTTCTATCTCTGATCAAGAAAGCCTAGCAACTCCTCCTGTAATGTCACCTGCCTGAAATAAATCGCATGCCCTCAGCAGGTGCCTAAGGCTGACAAGGGAGGATACCTCCTTCCCAGTTCCCAGACTTTCTTAGGTGCTCTTGAAGCCCAAGAAAGGAAGAGCGAGAGGAACTCTGCTTGTTCCCAGGCCACAGCAGCACAGGAGGAGGTGGGCAAAAAGCTGAAGTGCAAGGAGCAGCGGCGGCGCCCCAGCCTCTTCGGTGCTGGGGCTTGCCTCCTCCTGCAGCCACACGGCACTGGCGAGCAAGGCCACTCCAGCAAGCGCGGAGTGTAGGTGCTCGCAAAAACTTGGGAGGCCTGGACCGGGGATCCCGTCACCTGCGGAGGGGACCGGACGGGGCCCTGCTCAGACGCGCCCATACCAGCTACCTCCCCCCG